CTGTTGGAAGCTGAGTTTTGTGCCTTGAAAGTGATACTTTAAGTTTGAAAATTCCTGAACACAGGAATGTCTAGGTCAGTAGACCTTGCCATTGGCTTACACCAATTTGGTATACTGTTAGCATATCAGAACAGTGACCAACAATTGTCTGAAAAAAAAAATACAGAGAAATACATTTTCTTCATCCATAAGAAATTTTGTACCAACATACTGGTATCATTAGACATGTAAACTGATATGATTGACTTGCAGGTGAGCAAGTAGTCCTTTCTAACCAGTGAATAACAAGAATTAATGTTATTTAATCTATCAGGTGATAGAAGGGATCTAAGTAACTGAATGGTTTGTGTTCCCCCCAAAGACAATGTGATTTTAAGCCTGTTTTCATAAGATGTCTTGAATAAACTTATTTCCATTCTGGAGATATTTATATTTCCTAACTGCAATCTTACCCATTACTTCTATGTAAAAAAGTCTCAGACAGTAAAAACATTAAAGCTAAGCACATTTTCAGAGTTGTTCTCCTGTTTAGTCATCACATTTTGGGAACAAAATGTTGCCTTTTGGTTAACGAGTGAATATCAGAAATACCATATGCAATGAGGTTCCCAAAATGGTGGCTGGTAGCAGCAGCAAAGTGCTTTCACTGATGAAAAACCAAAAACCTTAATCCACAAATTAAGTGCCATTTTATTAACTGCAGCTAGTATGCACCATAAAATCATATTTGTTATATTTTTTTATTTTTGCCAATCATATCTGCCTTACCCTTTTTTCATACCTGCCTTTCCCTTTCAGTTCCATTCTTTTTCTTGACTTGACTTTACTTTCAGATAAGTCTAGAACTCACTTAGAACTCACTGCTTACATGTTCTCAAACAACAACCATTTCGTTCTTGAAAAGAGCTGAGGAGCAAAAAAAAAAACCAAAAAAAAACCCCAAAAACCAAACCAAAACCAAAACCAAAACCAAAACAAAACCCCCCCCCCCCCGCCCCCAAGATAACTTGCAACTATGTCAGTTTCACAAAGACGGCAGTTTGGGATGTTTACACTGTTAGAAGAGGGAGACTTATTAAAGGAAAGTATACTATTTCAAAACAATGTAAGAATTACTAGCTTTACTTTACATTATCCTTGCAAAATATTTCTCTAGTATTTACAGAGACCAGTCTGGCCTGGATTACTGTTTGAAAATATTCCTTGTTCATAAAATCAACATCGCAGCTAATGTGAGTCTAGCTGAGTGACTCTTGATGAGTCATTTCAGTTACTACTTAAATTACCTACTTAAGTAATTTTGATGCTCATTTCTGCACAAGATTACCATTAAAGTCATAGAAATAATGCTACTAGATAAGACAGTGATCCTGTTGTTTCCAGAAGCACTTGTAAAAAAGAAAATCCTTCAAAGGATAAGAAGTCTTAACGTGACAAGTTCAAGAACTGCCTGCCCATGTGGGATTTTTTTTTAATTACAGAAAATCCATTATTTGTACATCAAATGCCCAGCCTTGATTGCAGTTGTCCCAAGTTTCTATTCTATAGCCATATACTAAAACATAGTATCAGAGACAAATGTGAGAATGTTGAGAATGTAAAATTTAATTTTGCTTGAACTTTTATAAGATATCCACATTTACCTTACTAAGTAAAAATTTTTCAGAAATACAGATATAGAGATAATTTGAGTAGTATGGTTTTCAATTATGGCAACAAAAAATACAGAAAAATACAGGATTGATTTATTTTTTAGTAGGAGGTGAGGAGGTGAAAAGAATTACCAAATATTGAAGGCTTTTATGTGTGACAAGACACAAAATAATCAGTATTTCTACCTGCATCCATTTAATCTCTCTTAGGAGTCTTCTACTCTCTTAAAAAAATGCATACTGAAAATACTACTCCACATACTAGCACAAATATAATTAGCACACACTATCAAATAAATATTTTATCCAGCACCAATAAAGAGTAAGTACAGCATTGTCACCAAATTTTAAGAAGTCACCAAGATGTACAATAGGAGATGAGGGCAGAGAGTAGATCCTACTTCTCCTCTCTGGACTGCATACACAATCAATAATCAACTTGGCTAAAATTCTTAGTGGGAAGAATTAACACAATAGACTTATACTAAGATATACAGCTGACCAAAATGAGGCACAGGAGGAAAAGAATAACCATTTGATCACTTCTGCCTTTTTCTGCCCAGAATTCAGCCTTCCGTGCTCTGCAGCCTCTTTACAGCACCCACTAAACTTCTTGAAAAATCTCCTAGAGGGCAATGGTGACCATTAACTCTGATCATCCATCCCAGGAAAGCTGTTGTCATAGACAATCCTATAGCATCCTGTATGTTTTTCTACAGTGAAATAACTGGGGCACAATATTATATTTCAAGAGAGTTGCTGAATATGTTTCAAGACTTAGAACCTGTATGAAGGAAAATACTTGTACGTCTTTTACAAGGTCATTCAGGCTATTCAGTGAAGCTGTTTGAAACTGAAGAGCGATGGAAGCATCAAAGTAAGTGAAATGTAAACAAAATGCAAATTAAATACTAGAACTATAAATCAATTAGCAGCTTTCTGGCTTTTGGTTTGGGTTTTTTGTTTTTGTGGTTTTGTTGGTGTTATTAATGCTGTCTGCTGGATTACAGTCAACTACAATAAAAGGTGAAGCAATCTTTAAACAGACTACCCCTTCCACATAGCAGAACAGTCATAATTGCCCTTCTACTAGCAATGGTTATGGCTCACACAGCTTCCTTGCTGCCAAGATAACCTTATCACTGTAGAAATAGGCAGGCATAAAGGGAAGAAAGGAAGAACAGAAGGGGAACTGGGAAACACAGATTTCTATAAAAGCAAGCATTCAGCTATGTCTCTCTCTGTCCTTAATAAAAATTCATTGCCCCTTCAGCATACCCAGGAAGAGTCACCCATTCCCTGGCACAACCCTCTGTACCTACTCTCAGGTTGGCTCCACATTTTGCCTTACATTGTTTCTGAGCACATTCTTTTCCCCACACTCACTCAATCACACCTTCTTCCTCTAGTACTCTTCCACTTTTAAAGCACAAATATATTACTGACAAAGCTGAAATTTCACGTTATGTTACATGTGGACGTTACTAAGTAAGAAGGATGAAGGTCAGTGTGTTAAGAAGTATTTCTTGTGGCTGCAGAAAGAAAATATGAAGTAGAGTATGCATTAGTTAGCAGCTAATGAAGTAGAGCCATCCAATGTTTCACATGAGAAGTCAAGCATGAAAGAACATCCTGTCTGAGCTTCTATTATACCACATTGCACAGGTGCTCCAGAGTTCTTATGATGAAATAACATTATTTAAGTAGCTGGATTCATAAAGTATTACTCAAAAAGAAAATATATGAAAGTATAGTTTCTTTATATTATTTTACATTTAATATTTGGTTTAGTATTTAAAGTCTATTCACTAAGAAAGGCAATGAGGTAATACACTGTACATCAAGCTGAAGCTTATAATGTGGCAAATGCTTGATAGCTATAGACATGAAAGATCTCTTCAAATATCTGCCAAGACAGAAAAGTTATGGTTGCATCTGTAGAAGTTTACAATCCTTAACATAAGCATGAATTTTACAGTACCTTTAGTAATTAATCTACTGAAGCAGTTTCTCTGAATGAATCAAAATCATTGTAATAGGAAAAACAGTGAAAGAACCAACCTTACCTTAAAATAAACTACCAGTTCTATACAATGCGCACACACAGTATTTAAAAACTGTTGAGAATGGGTAGTGCCAAAATCCATTTCAAATTTGTAAAGTACTTGTACTGCATGTTCATTCTTTGTTATTTAGACTTGATTATATAAGAGGCCTGTACATTGAGTTCAACTGGGGACAAATTGATTGGCAACATTACTTCATAGTTAAAAGGGACTGCTCCAATGTTACTGAACAAGGAAAGCATGCCACTGGAGTCAACACAAAGCAATTCATATGTCATTATTACTAATTTTCCAAGGTCTAGAATGAAATGGTTTTATGATCTCTAATACTAGGGCAACACTACATCAAACTCACAACACTCTTACCCGGCATAGTACCAATTCCACAACTGGATCTATTCAGATCCCTTTCACATACATGAAAGGCCCAAAAGACTTTACAGACCTTTGACAAAGTCCATCTGGCAGCAGTCTAGATATAAATACTACATAAAACTGATACAAAGAGAATAACACTTCCCAAGGGAAAAAAAAATAGAAGACAAACGGAAAAATCTTTGAAGTAATCAGAGAAAATCAGGAAAGGAAAGACAAAAGCACATACTCACCATTTATATTACAGAATTTTAATTCATGTGTTCAGTTTATATTTATTTTAGTGGACTTTGTTTGGTGCTATTTACCATGCATCTCTAGAAATTATCTGCACTTTTGGTCCTACTATCAGGGGAAAACCAGTACCCATTTACAAGAAGTCCCAGCATTCAAGTACAAAATCTGATTTCAGCCACATTTCAAGGCAAGTATCTTGATTCTAACAGATGATTTCAAAAGACATGTCATCACTTTGAATAGCAACAAATTTGCAGTTGCAAATACAATTGATCTTTTAGCATTTCCCTAATCAGAATATGACTTGTGAAGCCTATGGCTTCTAACCAATCTAAACTAGATTTGTCCTCAGTCAAATTCTAAATCCTATTTCAAATTTAATTTAAACCACAATATCTTCATTTCCTTTAAAACTCAAATTGACAAGATCTGTAGTAAAGCACTGTCCTTGGTGGATCACTCTTACAAGTTTCCTGCTAATACTAGCAGTCCATGGGATCTTTGGTCTTTCCCTAGGATTAGTGTTCATTATTCAGGCAGAAGCAAAGAGTGACAAACACTGAACCACAAAAATCACGTCTATAATTGTCATTAGGAGAAAAAAGAAAATGTTGGTTGTGACATCTTTTATGCTTCCAATACTGCACTGCTGTTGCCAGAATTTTCTTTCCTATAAAAATATGGCTTATCTAACCTCTTAAAAATAGTAAAAGTAAGGTTCAGGAAATAATATAAAAATCACAAGAAAGCTCACCACTTTCCATCCTGTGAGAAATGTTAAAACTGACTACTAAAGTTAGCATTAAGGTGTACCATAAAACCTTATCCCAGAGTTTTAATTTATATACATGTAACTTATGAAGATACACTGTCTTTTAAGAAATCTTATATTTTTTTCACCTACCCTTTGTCTGCAGTGAAAATATTAAGTACTCATTCAGAAGAATCATTTTTAATTTAATCAGAAATTTTCTTAATTTATTACTACTTTATTCAAGAAAAAGTAATATTAAAATTTATGTTAAATGGAAAATTAAGCTATAAAAAATCAAATTTTAATTCTAAATGTGCATAACACTGCTAAAATGTTATAAGCCCTCTACACTTCACTGGACCTGTTGAGAATGAGATGACCTCATCAGCATCCCTGAAAACTCATATGCACAGTCACAAAAGTGAGGGAACCTTGAGATTAAGCTGAAAAGAGTATTTTAGGAAATCTTATGATAATAATAGAGCTACAATGTCATAATGTAAGGTAACTAAGATTACATGAACAGTTCTATGTAATATAGTCAGTGAAGTAAACTTACAAAGCTTGCACAAGAGTGGTGGAAGGATGAAATTTGTTGAGGTAGTTGTTTAATTTAATAGGACAATAAGTGAAGCAATTCAGCAAAGGTAGAATATTTTTAAAAAGCAGACTTCCAACAAGGCTATAACCTGAAGAGGCATTGTCTATCAGTACTAGCAACAGGCAGACTAGAGAAATCCTAAAATGATAACAAAACTTTTCTATTCTTCCTGAGAAACACTTATTACCAGAATAGAAAACATTTTTATTCTATGGAGGAATCCAAAACAGCTGAATTTCATCCCAAACTCAGGAAATAAGGAACTTTAATAAAACAATGGACAGATGAACACTTACTGTGGTTCAGCTTCAGAAGCAGCAACAATAGAAAAGGTATTAATTTACAGCATACTTACAGTAAATACCACTGCCATCAATATTTTAACATTTGCTACCTAAACAATAGTAAAATCTGAACCTCATTACACAAAAAGATATGAAGCTGTTAACACATAGCTCAATGACAAGTTGAATTACAGAATCAAACACGCCCAGTCTTTGATTTGAAATTGTCCACATTTATTGTTTCTCAAGACAAAGTTCAGTAACCATTTACTCAGCTTTTACTGGAAACAAACAGTAGTTATTATAAAGTAGTAACTAAAGTCTGATATACTAACTTTGGGGAAACTGCAGGAGGGAAAATCGATTTTATTCTGTGTAACCATATTTTTTGTATAAGTTCATTTTTTTTTATATCTTCCTAAAATTTGGGAGATTGAAATTACTATTAAGAAAAATTATATTGATGGTGAATGCTTCTCAAGACTACCTACACACAAATAGCAGACTACTCTCACATTAGTTGTATGAGAGGAAAAATATTTACAAAAAGGAACAAGTTTCAGTAGCGAGTTATCAAAATAAGCAATTTAAATAATTTAAATAAATTTAAATATTTAAATAATACATGTGGATTGTGCAATAAAGAAAAGCACTCACTCAGAGCACTTGTCAGAGTAACAACTAGAACTTCCCTACTTGGCTTTTCCTAACTTGGAGCTTACTGGGTCTCAATGCTCCAGCCATCCAGCCATTCTGATGATCTTTCTCAAGTCCAGATTCTATCTCACAGATCCTGGAAAGTTTTCTGGATACAATCTGTCAAGATAAATACAATTCTTCAGTAACTTTTTTATTTTTTAGAGGTAAGTTGAAGTTGGCTAGCTCTAATAACATGTTCATGTTTGAATCCAGACCCCATACCAAACCATTTTATTGTGGCCATACACAGAAAACATGTATCACCTGCTCAGAAGCTGAGCAACAGAACCCAAAGCATATGGAAATCACTAGGCTAAAATCCAGAGCCATCATAGTGATTTCCTACTGATACCAACATGTACATTTATATGCAAATTTTCCATTTGCCTACAGATTCCTTGCACGATTTTCTGTGTGCAAAAACAAACCAGGCACACATCTGTGCCTTTGACCTCAGCAGAGCCCTCAGGCACAGATTAAATGCTACCTTCTGCTGGCCTCTTAACACCAGGAGGTTCAATTCTTAAACCGCAAACAGCTCTGCTGCAGATATTTAGTAACAGTAGCCAAACCACAGTCTGAAACAAAAGCACTGAAATATAAGTGATAATACCAGGCCCCACTGTAATTTAGGTCCAAAGCCAGTAACGCATTCAGTCAGCAAATATTCCCAGAGAAACAGAGCAATGATCATCTTGCACGTCTGGATGTTTTCAAGTAGCCCATAATCAATCTTAGGAGTCTTGTAATGGGTCATAAAGATGATAATGACTAACTATGATTAAAATTTTGTGTGTTACCTATTATAAATCTGCTCCACCCATACTGTTTTACATATCTAACAGCATTTTGGAGTATTTTTCAACCTAAATGATCTTCTAATTTTATCATATACTCTTTCTTAAATGTAGCTTCCAACAAGAAATATTAAGCCTGAGTAACTGTATAAGGGTCAGAAACCAGCATTTTGGAATTAAGTCTTGTGATGCAAACAGTGGATAGAAGCACTCACAGTTTTTTATTGCCTTCTCTGCTACCACACCTTTGCAGTAACCACTTTTTCCATTTACCTTTGAAATTCAACCAGATAAAAGAGCAAATTTAGTAAGTGTTTACTGTTAATGTGGAATTACCTTTAGTAGTTATCTCAAGTATTTCTTCAACTCACAGGTGCACAAAATAACTTCCACTTAGCACATTTCCTCGTAAAACATAGTTTGGTCCAAGCCCCCAGTGTTTCTGCCACAAATTACATTTTTCTACAGTCAAAAAAGATGTGCATCGTCATTCAAACTCTTCTGCTAGATTTATGTAAAGTCATATCAGAAATAGACAGGGTCAAATAGTCAGTAATAAATAAATAACCTGTTCTATGAGACTTGAGTGCCAAGTCTAGCCAAGAACACTTTTGTTGGATTAGGAAAGAAGATTGTGTAAATGACATTCTATTCTTCCATTTTTGATGCACCTGATAATAATATAGTTACCCTTTTATTATTTACCTGGCTTCCAACAAGTAGGTTCTGCCAGAAAGAGCTGCATGGTTTTGATGTAAGGCCACAATAAACTCTTTCCCTCAGCCCATTGCTGGAAAACATACTGCACAGATTTAGTCAAACAGAACATGTGTCCATCTCTTGGCAACTCAGTTCATGGTCCAATTTCCTCTGTACATTAAACTAGGACATTGGAGCAGCTGGTATTTATTACAGGCTTGCTGCTGCTCTGGGCGTGATAACATCTTAACCACAGGTAGACCTCCAAAATTATTTGGGTATTTTCACAGCTTTGAATAAGTCAAGTCCTATCGTTCCAAGAAGCCAAACTCCTCAAAACCTAAACATACTTTATCCCTTTTTATTCAGGAAACTGAATGAGGATCAACAAAGAACCCCATACTATTACAATCTTCATGGATCCACACTTCTAATTTTCTTTGCACATAAATCAGGATTTCATTGCAATCACTGGAAGGCATAACTTTATCACTGAACAAGCCTAGTAAGTCATATAGTCTCTCCAAACTACATCCACTTGCATTATAAGTAGTCCACTACCAGAATTAAATCTAAACTTGAATTTAAAAGGTGTTATGGCAACGAATTTATAACTAAGGAGGAGATACAATTAACAAAGCTTTATGGCCTTAGGAGCTTAACCCCAAATTTAAAATTACATACTCTCACAGAAAATCTGAAATACCTAACAATGATCTTAATTTCTACTTACTTATTCCAAAGAATGTGGACAGATCCTTCAGATTTTAGATTGTCTCTATGATAAAGATAAAATAATTTTGTATTAGTTTAAAAATATCTTCTTCAGGTACTTTGAATGAAGTTGAATATTGTCAATATAGCTTTATCACAGAAGCCCAATAATGTATGCTAAACAGTTATGTAAAGTAGTACCTTTTCTATTTTGCTAAATTAAGGTTTGAATTTTAAGCAAATCTGAACCAATCAGAATTCACTGAATACAAAAAAAAAACCCACAAAATATAGACAGTTCTCTAAATATATAAAAAATAAACATGCTCAGATGTCTACATTCAAATGAATATAAGTCCATTTAATTGATTCCCCCTTCCAATTAAATGGAGACTATTATTCATCCCCATTCATAAGCATTTGATACTAATCCCTATCTCTACTGGCAGAGTCACTTTTTCCAGACATCAAAGCAGTGCTAACTATACTTTTTGATAAAACTCAAGATTATAAAGCTGGACTGGCAGACAGTAATAACGTAATTGCATACAGTTCATACCTGTTTTTCAACAATAAACCAAAGGAAAAATAAATTGTTGGCAACTGTAGCAGTGGTCTAGATTCACCTGAAAATTAGGGAGCCTTGTGGATGGTGAATGCAACTCCTACTACAGTGAGCATGTATGTGTATTCAAAGTGCAGCTGACAACAGTCAGGTGACAATCTGTCTCTAAGGGGAAAGATAATGAGAGACTTATTTCATAAAAGCTTCTTTATGTAGCAGCATGATTTAGAAAGATGTAAGTGTTCCATTTTTCAAAGTTCTTCCTGTTCAGTGTTTACCAGAAGAGAGTGCATGTATGAATTGGCAAGACTTTTGCATAATTTTTGGCACTTAAAAGTATTTTAAGACTAATGCTGGCATTTTCATAACAGCTAAATCATTAAAAAGATAATATTTTAAGTCTGCAGGGAAGCTGGCTTGGCACAGTTCTCGTTTGCTCACCTAAAGTAATTTTTTTCCTGCCAAATAGATAAAATCTCAGAAGAATCACTACTCCCTCCTATTGTATCTTGATGAAGTAAATCAACTTAAATAAGAACTAACCCAATTAATCCTTACATTTTCCGTAAACCAGATGTTCTTCTATTCAAATATGTTCAAGATTATTTTCTAGGTTTGGGAAAGCTGCTGACCAGTCTGGCTGTCAGGCTAACCTTTCCAACCTCTACACTGCAGTTACTGTAGCTTCTGCTGAAATTATGACCAGGCTGTAGATACAGGCAGCCTTTCACCTGGCCACAGAGCAGCTGAATGAGGACCTACCGTTCCAAAAGCCCATGCTATGCAGCACTAGCAGGATGAATTCTTAAGACGCTGTTCTCTCCTGAACTTTGGGATTTTTGTGCTGGTTTAGCTGTTGAATAACAAAAAAAAAACTGTTATAAATGTGTCAGAGCAGATCACAACCTAGAATAATAACTAAAGACACCAGTTTCCCTAATATGAAGTCATTAACTGGATGTGCTATTTGAAGAGGTGACAAAAAAATCTTAGGTATCCATTCCTCTCCAGATCAAATATTAAGTAAAGGACTAAAAGTACCTCCAAAGCAAATATTTCTTTTTTATTAACCATAATAAACTAAGAGTGGCAAAGAAAGTCACATAAAACTTGCCACAACATAGTTATTGAGCACTGCAGTTTCTAATCTCAGCAATAAATGTAGGTCAAGGGAACTGGAAAATCTAATTACTCTGTAAATTTTTAAACCTGTTTCTTTCTTCTCAAGGAAAAGAAAATTGTTCCTTTGCATTTAAGCAGACTTGACTTCAAAGTGCAACTACAGCTAGGTAAGAAATAATTTTTGCCTGAATGTAGAGGTTTTTGAACGTTCTTCTTTGCACCCTGTGTTGTACTCAGGGTACAACCCTGGGCACGCAGCTCTGGTTCACACTTGTACTCAAGGTATCAGCACTTCACAATTATTAGAGCTAAAACACAAAATCCAGAGACACTTATATGAAAAAAGCAGACCAAAAAAAACCCCCATCACTGACTAAAATAGGTCTTTGGTACCCCACTGCAGCAGTTCCTTTCAGCAATATATCCCATTTGATACCCACTATTCTACACTGCATTAAGAAAATACAAAGCAATGCATCGTTACAAAATTATTATGAATATAAGTATCTGATAGCATTATAAATATTGATTATTCCCTGATTATATGACCTTTTCACACAGTCGATGTTGATTTCAGTGTATACATAGACCATATTACTTAGATTTGCAAGAAAAAAGAAACAATTGAAAAAAATAGAAAAACTTTGAAGATTCAAGCCTCCTGATGACTCCAAAAACCAAGGATTGTTTAAGGATCACATTTCCAAACAACTTTTTTTTTTCCAAAAAAAAAAAGTAATTTCAGGTACTTAAGACGAATTCACAGCACAATAAATCTCAATTTCCCTCTCAAAACAAAAATCAAAAACAAACAAAAATATTAGAAGCTGTAACTACAGCCAGCCACTGACTGGCCTGTCTCACAGAGCTCTGTCTTCCAGCCCTTACCTCTGCAATACGTGACAAGAATCTATCTGAGTTTCACAACAGATAGATTTGTGTGTTGTGTTCTGATTTGGCAGTCAAATCTTTTGTTTGTTTTTGGGGGTTGGGAGGGGTGAACTGTACAGAAGTGGAAAACCTGGCCTAAGGTCATCTGATCTTTGGACAGTGCTCCCATTAAGTATAAATCCTATTTTTGAACTTCCTCCAATTCCACGAGAGGTGACGCCTCCCAAACAAATAAAACAAAAAATAACAACAAAAAGTTAATTCAGACAGATCCATGTGGAAGACTAAAAATGGGTTTGTATTGAAAGCTAAACCCTGAAACAGTAGCTCAAGGAACCACCCAAACCAAAATGAGTTCTGCCCAGGTCTGTTTTAAAAAGCCAAAGAATGACCAGGGTTTTTTTTGCTTTATGCATTTGATGAATGGCATCTACCCGGTTTATAGAGATGTAACATGTGTCTTTTAAACTACATAAGAATTCAGCAGATTACACCATACTCCCTGCTCTGTATCATGGACGAATTTATGAATACAAGCATCAAAAGCATTCCTCAGCATTCTCAAAGCCTTCGAATATTAACTTGGTAACCTTTGAACTAAAAATTTCAACTTCTAATTAGGTATTGGTCCTTCTCTAATATTAAAAAAAAAGCAAAAAACAAAACCAAAAAACTTATAAGAATTTATCCTGACTGGAGATCTATTAAATTGCTAAAATCATATGTAGCCTGAGGCCTGACTGGTAACAAGCAGCAATAAATGAGACCTGGATCTGCACTGAATGAGGAGAAAAGGAAATCTTATCTGCCAGTCCATTTGCTAAGCGGCAGAAGTGGCAAATTGGCAGAAGCCGTCTTAAACACATATGTTTATACAAGTAACTAATGTGGAAAAGCAAATTAAATACGGAGTTTCTTAATCTCTGGGTGTTTGACTTTACAGCTTATTATGGCTTTGGCAAAATATTTTAACTCATTACAATTGTGTTTTTCTTCCTTCAGCTTTCATGGTTCTGAAACGCGATGTTGCACTGATTCATTACACTTAATTCATATTCTGAAGAAGAGAAGGTCCAAATTTCACTAAGGACCAGAGCAACCAGTGATGACAATCCAATCTCCCTTCAATGCATGCCATAAACAACATGTAAAAAGTCTGACTTGTTACGGATTAACAAAACAGTTGAAAAAATATTAGGATGAAAAAATAGGTGTTATGGAACAGCAATAAACCAGCACATTGGTCCACCCTAGAAGCACAAGAGAGTCTGCTGAACAGCAAAAAGATTCAGATGAAGGAAAAAGTATATGGAACAGCTCAGATGGGACAGTTTTACAGTCACACCACTGCAATGAGGAGACACTTCCTTTCCAACACGGCTGAGTAATCTTTCATGCACAAGCAGTGAATGCATTGATGACTGTTTGCAGCTGACAGCAATCCGGGGACACTGAAAGGAATAACATTTTCTTGTTCTGCTTTTGGATGGGTTTTGTGAGTTGTTTGGGGTGTTATGACAACAGCCCAATGATAATAAAAGTATTGGAGGTACTTCTTCCTAGCCTACTGGCAGTACTGGGGAGACCTTTTGTTTTATCCTGAGCTCGCAAATAATATAATACAAACGAAACAAAACCAGTCTGAGCTGCCCGCCCCCCAGCATGCATAGAGCATGTTTTCCAAACACGTTATTTCCAAAAGGGGCTAACATACACTGCCAAAGCCGCGCTCTAGCTACGGCACTCGAGCCATGCGCATACCCCATGTACCGCGGAGGGACACCCGCTCCGCCTCGCACACCTCCGCCGGGCTCGGTGCCACGGCGGCCGCGGGCACGCGCCGCGGGCACGCGCCAGGCACCGGCCCCGGGGCGGCGCCCGCCGGCCCGCGCGCTGCCCGGGCCCGCACAGCGCGCGCCCCGCGCCGTCACCGGCGCTTCGCCTCCCGCCCTCCGCGCCCCGCCCCGCCCCGCCCGGCGCCTGCGCGGAGCGGCGCGGCGGGCGCAGGAATGCGCGTTACGGTTAAATAGTGGGTGCGCAGGGGCGGCCGCCGCGGGCGGGCGGCGGCGGCTCGGGGCGCCGGGAGAGCCTCTATGGCGCGGCGCAGCTCCCGGGGCGGCGGCGGCAGAGGCGGCGCGACGCTGTTGTGACAGCGGCTGGGACTGGCCTTCCTCCAGCCCCGCTCCCGAGCGGGGGCCCCGCGCCGGTGTCCCAGGGGCGCGGCGGCGGCGCTCACAGAGAGGACCCGTGGCAGCGGCGGCGGCAGCCCGCGTGTCACCGCCTCTATGATGAAATTCAAGCCGAACCAGACGCGGACGTACGACCGGGAGGGCTACAAGAAGCGGGCGGCGTGCCTGTGCTTCCGCAGCGAGCGGGAGGACGAGGTGAGCCCGCCGAGCACGTGGGGCGGGGGCGCCGGCCCGGCCGCGGTTCCCGTTCCGCCGGCCCCGCCGCTGCCGCATCCCTTTGTCTGGCCGTGGGGCGCGGGCGCCTCCCGGGGGACGACCCCAGCGCGCGCGGTCGTGCCGCGGCTCCCACCACCGCGAGAGCCGGCAGGGGCGGCGCGGCGGGGCTGCGCGGGTTCCGGCCGGCCGGAGCCGTGGCGGGCGGCCCCCGGGCCGTGCCGGTCCGAGCGGTGCCGGGGGCGGGGCGGGCGCCTCTCGCCCACCATCTTGGGGCGGCGGGGCGCGCGCCCACGTGCGCGGCGCTGCCTTTGTGCGCGGTCCCGGCGCCCCTCGGCACGGAGAGGGAGCGGCGGGAGACTGAGCTCTGCGGGCGGGGCGGGATGGGCCCGGACACCGGCTGGAGCTCCGGGGTTATCTTCTGTGTGCCCGTGACGCGCGGAAAACCGGTTAATGTATAATGGCGCGTGGAGGGCAGGGCTGGTGTGTCATCCTGAAGGCGAACCTCCTGCCCCGCTTGCGTGCGATAAAGAAAAGCCTGTGCTTGGAACACCTGGTTTCCCCACGGAAAAAGTAAAATGGAGCTTAGAAATATTTTGTGAACGAGCTCGGGAGCGGGAGAGTTGTTGCTGCGGCTCTCGTTGTAGTGGGTAGTGCTCCCCCGGAATTTTGTGTTGCAGCAGAGTCGGGAGGTGGCAACAAAGTTGTCCCGTGTTCCGAGCCAAGGTCAATGGCACTGCCCGTTATCTGGGAGCTCGGCTGATGGTTTCATTGCACAATGCGTTTTTAGATGGTCTCGGGCTGGAAGCATACCCTTCTGCCATTTCTGTTTTCATTTTCTTGTTCAGCAGCCATTAAATAACTATAAAGGTTAGAGTTTGGGATTCTTTTCTGCTTTTATTTATATGCTGGAAGATGCTGGTGTCCTTCTCAAGCTATCAGTACAGCGTATGTTTTCCTTAAACATCTTCTACGTAAATATAATGCAGTGGGAAGAGGCCTGATCTCAAAATACAGGCACTTGGGCTTAAGCAAAAAAAAAATTATTTCCTTTGTGGTGTAAATATAACTTTGGGACCATGTTGATGAGTTTTTACTAGTATGAGGGAGAAAGGCACCCAGCAGGAATCTTGCAAGGTCTTGTTATGGGTTACAGCTTTTCTTTGGCCTCTGACACTCCAATGTACTTCACCATTTATGTAACTTTGATATTAATTTTTTGGATGCTACTCCAGCTCAGACTTATTTGAACACCTGAGCCACTGTTACAGATTTTGCACCAATTGTGGTTAGAAATTCATGGTTAGGGACACCTTTGTCAGTGATTTCTGCTCATTTTTCATTTCCTGGTGCAATTTCTTGTCATTCTCTTTCAGTCTTGCATCCAGTGAAGTCACTGCCTGCTTCAGGATATAGTTTGTGCATAATAACATCCTTCGAGGCTAAGGACGATAGTAGCAGCTTTGCTGGGCTGTGTAAGAAGAGTGGGTACCGACCATTGTTGCACTGCAGTTCCTTGTGCAGTTCTGGATGGAGCACCTGTATTGCTGGCATGAGGCCGGGCCTTGGCATCATGCAGGTAGATACTTGAGGATGAAGTGAATGGGAGAACATCAGATTTAGGACATAGATTATGTGTGTGGAAACAGTTAAAATTGCTTTCTGACAAGTCATTTCCAGGAAAGCAGTGCCAACAGCTTGAACTTGCTTAGGAGCTGTTTCCCAAGTGCCAGCTTCCTCTGTATCAGTACAGAATCTATTCCTTAGAAGTTTGATGCCTGGCAGCTGTTTGTGATTGACTTCAGTCACCAGCCATGATCCCCAAATTGGGTGTTTGAGGCTTGCTTCTGTCTTCTTGAACACTGTTGTCCAGGTAGTTTTTGTGTTGGTCTATTCCATGTAAATGTCTTCAGTGTTTCTTTTCTAAATCTTTAGAGATTGCACCATCAATTTTCAGCAAAGCTACATCTCCAGGGTGCTTAAGTGTAGGGTAACTTCTGCAGGAAAGGAACACAAGGGTGGTATCTCGATGGCTGGAGAAGAAGGGAACAGGAGACTCCTGTAGAAGTTATTGGGAGGTGGGGGTGGAGGGGAACTACAGGATAGAATAGTTTTCATAGTTATTTTGACTTGCAGGATAAGCAAAGAGTTGCTTGACATTGGAGTTGAGAAAATAGAATCAACAACTGAAAACAATTTTTAAGAATACATTTCTTTTTAGGAGTCTTAAAAGCAAATCTGAATCTCAACTTTTTTTTTTCTGGAGATACTTTCTGCAAGACTAAATTAGTTTTATTTTTCATCTGATTAGGTTCTGTCTGGAGGAATGAGTATAGCAATCTTGTGATACAGGTCTTAGAATTAACCTTTCTTTCTACTTCCATTCTGACTGTCCAAAAGGCTTGTCCAATG